TATACGATAAGTATACGTTAATATATATTTTTGAAATTAATACGGTATCAAATTTGTTTACCAAACAATGTATTAGACCTAATTAAATAAAAAATAGTACAATTTAACATTTAATCCCTTCATAATACGTCTGATGATGCACAAAATTGTCTTGTGTAATATCAACAGTCAAGAAGGTGAATAGGTGCAATCAATGAGCAACAAGCAATCAAAGGAAAAAATAGTAAGAACTCAGAGATTTATAGTGGTTCGGTCTTGGATGACCTACTCCACTTTTGGAATGACAGTGGTGGCCGGTGTTCTTTATTGATGAATGATGGTACTCCGGAGAGTTACAGTACTTTGAGGGAGAATAAGAGAGAACAGTGTGTATAAGAGTGAGTGTAGAGGTTTTTGGAGGCCTTTGCCCTCAATGTTGAGAGGACTTACATTATATAGTTAGAGTAAGGTAGCAAAGGCGGTGACGTGAGGAAAAAGAATTCTATTGCTTTAGAAAGTATTATTATGATAGGAGATCTTCTATGTTAATCTCCAAATTATCTTCCCTCGTGCTCCTATTCATCCAGAGGAGAACATTAGTTGGATTGAGCTTGACCCTCGTCTTGGACTTGGACTTGTCGTGAGTAGGCTTGATTTGGACTCGGATTGGAGTACCAAGGTGAAGAGGAACAAGAGGAGGGGCGCCCAAGGGGATGCCATGGGCGGTGCCCAAGGGCTCCCTCGTTTTCCTCCCACTTTGGCCGTTGGATTTTGGTGTTGTCCTCTTGATATTTTTCTCAATGGGTTGACATTGGACGCTTCTTTAGGCTTTCTCGATTTATTTAAATTGGGTTTGACCTAGTAAAATTTGGGCTCATCAATGTCTATCAAACGATTCCTTAGGAATTTTTGGTTGTGGGTATAATTTTTTAGACTTATTTGAGGAAAAATGTATAGATAAGTTATTTATTCAATTAAGTTTAATTTTAATAAAACATGTTATATTTAGGTACAAAATTTAAATGAAATCAAAACTTTTTTTACTTAAATAATCTCTCTTAAATTATGCATTCTTGATTGATAGTTATATATCTAACAAAATATGTAAAGATTTTATAAGACTCTCTATCTATCTCTCCCCTATTTTCTCTTCATTCTCTCTCTCTCCATTACTTTCTCCATCTCTCCCTTATTTTCTTTCTATCTATCATTGATAATTTATTTTCTTTTCAAATATATAAAGATTTAATTTATTTTTTCATCTTACCCCTATTTTCTCCAATCGTTTCTCTCTCTCCCTCCATATTTTCTCTTTCTCTTTCTCTATTTAAATCAATATTACAACAACATAATTATATTAATAAGTTATACCAATTAGTTACAATTGTTTTATAATACACCAAACAATTATTCTAATAAACCAAAAAATTATACCAAACAGTTACACAAAATTATAACACCAACCTAATTTGTTATTCAATTGCTTACATAAATTAGATAGTTACATTATTTAATATCGCTACATCGTTACACCAATTATATATACCAAATTTAGTATAATAGTTAAGTCTTTTGTGTAATAACTCGATTTGGTGTATATAATTGGTGTAACCATATGATGATACTAAGTGGTGCAACTCTTTGATTTATGTAAATAACTGAATGATAAATTGGGTTGGTGTTGTAATGTTGTATAATTGTTTAGTGTAACAGTTTGATTTATTAGAACACGCGAGTAACTGTTTGGTATATTATAGAATAATTGTAATTAATTGGTGTAATTGATTAGTGTAATTGTGTTATTGTAACATTGATATAAAGAGAGAGAAAGTAAGAGAATAAGGAAATAAGGAGAGAGGTAGTGAGAGAGATGAAAAAATAAATTATCAATGTGAGAGAAAGAGATAAAAAAAATAGAAAAGAGAGAGTGAGAGAATAATGGAGAGAGAAAGAAAGTAATGGAGTAATAAATGGCTTTTTAATATTTTTTTCAAAAAAAATCTACTTAGGGTCAAATAAATTTTCTTAATGTTGTTTACCTCAAATAAGTTTAAATTTTTGTATTAGCTTCTAAATTACCCTTACAATAACCTTCATATAGGCCTGTTAATCGATCCTGTTTTGATCGAATTCTGATTGATTCAAATTTAAATTTAAATTTGATTTTGGAAGTTCGATTCGATTGTCTAACTCACATCTTAATTCGTTAACAATCTGATCCGAAAAAATTATTTTTTTAATATTTATTAAAAAAATATATAAATATTTCGGATCGAACCATAATCGAATTTGAAATATGTATATTCAAATTCAAATTCGTAAAAAATATAAGATATCAAATTCAAATAATTAATAAAAAATATCAATCTATATCCAACTAATTATATTTGAGTTTGGATCGAATTCAGACCAAAATTCGATCCATCAAAAGGCTGAACTACATTGACTAAAAAATAGATAAAAATTAAAGTTTCAATTAAATTTTGAATATCAAATGAATAAAAATAGAATTAGAAGTATCATATATAATCTATAATATAAAATATAACAGACTTTAATAAATTTATTTGACGGTCTCAAATAAATTCATTTAACGGCCATCAACATCCCTTTCAAGATATCACGTCAAACACAGATTATCCATAGTTATTACTATGTCACGGCATTTGATCTTTAGTTTTAATTTTATTTTGTAGTTAGTTTAATATCACTCTTCTTATTAACCCTTAATCTATCCCTTTTCTTGTATTGGACTTCAAATTATTCCTTTATAGTTCGCATTACTTTAATTATTAATTTTTCCCCTCAAGTTTATTCTAATTGAAGAGGGAAACACCACAGCCTTAAGCATCGTGAAATTTCATTTTTACCTTGACGTAATTGTAAAAAATTAGAAGAATTACATTCAAATCCCTTAAAATTTGTTACTTGATCACTTAAACTCTTGACATTTAAAATATTATACAAAGACCTCTTAAAGTTTGCATACCTGTAACACATAAACCCCTATCGTCAATGTCTGTTAATATATTATACTCAGACCTTTTAAAATTTATAGGCGTCTAATACTTAGAACCGTAAAATTTAGAATGTTATATTTAAACTAAAAATAATCCAATTAAAGATAAAACATTAAATATTTTAAATTTTATAACCAGAATTCATATTATATTATGTGATTTATTAAAATAAAATTAAAATTAAAAATCTAATGTTTTCTTTACAAAATTATAATTATTATGCAATTTTGCTATCTATTGGAATAAAACTAAAAAAATAAATAAAGGGTCAAACTGTAATGAATATAATATCTCCTATATTTAATTGAGGTAATTTGGTCGTTTAATAGATAGTACAATTGTATACTAATTATAATTTTTGTTTAAAATTTTAATTTTAATTTTCGATTTTAGTTTAATGAATGACATAATAAAACATGAATTTTAGTTATAAAATTTAAAATATTTGATATTTTATCTTTGATTGGAGTATTTTTTGTCTAAATATAACATTTTAAACTTGAAAAGTTTAAATATTACATTCATAAAAATTTTAGGGGGTTTAATTATAATTTATCAATGATTATTTTAACGAATATTAATGATAGGGGTTTAAGTGTTACGCGTGTACAAACATTAGAGATTTGTATATAATATTTAAAATGTTAGGATATTTAAGTGATTAAGTAACAAATCTCAGAAAGTCTGAATATAATTTTCGTTAAAAAAATTGATAAAAATTAACGATTAAAACGATGTAAAACTCAAATTAATCTTTTTAAGGTATAATGTGAAAAAAATAAATAGTTAAAAAGACAATGTGAAAGAGAGATATAATTTAAGGGGTTTAAATATAATTTTACCCAAGTAATATTATATCAACAAACTCTCCCAAATCCCAAACGTTGCCGCTCTCTTTTCTCCGCCCTACCGCTGATCTAAGCTCAATTTTCCGCCACTGGTAACTTCTCTCTCTCTCTCTCTCTCTAATTTGCATCGATCAAAGCATTTGGCGGGATCTCTGAGATTCGTTTCGAGGGGTGTTTAACTAGGGTTTCTGCGTTGACGAAATGCAGTTATCTTTTGCGATTAGGGCTAGTCTGTGAATATTAATAGGTTTTTTTTTTTTTTTTTTTTATCAAACCTTACATTTTCTCCATGCTGCTTGTAGTTTTAAGGGTTTTTTTTTTAAACCTGATTTTGCCTTTGATTGATTTATTAGGGTTTGGGTTTCTGTGTTATTCTTTTCCACTTGCAATGCTATTCTATTACTTCATTTATTTGCATCTTTAGCATACTCACTTACTTTTGGATTTCTGTTTCTTTTTGTTTTGTGGATTTCTTATTTTCTATCTGAAATTAGCCTTAGGCAGTGAAGCGAATCATTGTTCTAGGCTACTAAATTTGTTAATTGCATTTTACCATTGCTGATTTTCTAGTTTTTTGCTTGTTGGGATGCGATTTGTAGATTTATATGTACAATGTTCATTTTGATGTGAATTGGCATGCTAATTTCTCAATTCTTCTCCGAAGTGTCGTTAAATCTGGGCATTTGCTGCTGAAAATGTTGTTAGATCAAGTTCTGTGGGCTGTTTTACTTTGCAACAAAACTTCAATTTCATATTTCCGATTTATATGCAAATTCCATTGGTATGTTACCTGAACCTGCTTACAGTTGCTGAGCTGGGTTTTCCCCTCTTATTCGCCACCCTTCATCGGTTTCACCGTTCCACTTCCATTCGCCCTGTGCCCTTTATTCCTCCATCACCACCTTCTCTCCAATTAAATATCACATGCCAGTATGGATGTAAAATTTGCCATGTTGAACCCTGCCATGTTGAATTTTAAAATTGCATTGATTAAATTTTGCAATTTTTTCATTAAAGGTCAGAGTTGTGTAACTGTTTTACAGTTTCTTACTTTCGATGGCAAAGCCATTCTAAGGTACTTGTTAATATTGCCAGGCTTTTGGGAGCTCCAACAGAGGAAGAGACTGGGCGATACCCTCTTTAAATTGAAGGAATGGGTGACAAGAAGAAGCAGGCTTCAATGTTCATCAGGCTTGTTTCTGCTGCTGGGACTGGATTCTTCTACGTGAAGAGGAAGAATCCTCGAAGAATCCCTACAAAGCTTGAGTTCAGGAAATATGACCCTCGTGTGAATCGACACGTTCTGTTCACCGAGGCCAAGATGAAGTGAGTGAGATAATTGTTCGATGGTTAGATCTACTTATGCACTTATCTTGGATTAAAATGGTACTGTTATTCGCCATAAGCAATTTTCAAACTGAAATTGTGCTTAACACTTCCTGTTATATCTTACTGGATGACAGTGTGTTTCATATTACATTTATTGCAAATCCATGGATGAGGAGATGTAATTTCACCATTGATTAGCTTGAACAGGACAATTTGCTTATAAAAGGTGGTGGTCACATATTGTCCTAAGATCAAGGCTGGCTACGAGTTGTCCAAGGAAGAGAGAGTCATGTCGCTTGAGCTTGGTTTAATTACTGAACGAATTTAAAAAATTGATCATATTCGGTTCATTTTTGTAATACGAAAGAGCTTAAAAAAGAACTAAAACGAGCTTGTGGAATAAACAAAAATTTCTCATCAGCAAATGGAGACTTCATCAAACTCATCCTGGGTTCAGCATCTTCAAGCTTATTGACTTCATTTTTCCTTTGTCGCTATCTATTCCTAACGGCTCCTAATGTATTCATCATTTAAATTTGAACCTTTCTGTGGTTTTATTAGTGTTGAATCTGAATCATGTTCGATTAGCTTGGCTCGTTCAACATCTGAGAACCTACTGGAGGAAAGAATTCTGTCCACAGAGCTTGAAGAACAATTGAAGAGAGAGGAGGTACTATGAAAGCAGAGACCCATAATTCGATGGATGAAAGAAGGTGATGCCCAACCTAAATTTTTCCATGCAACATTAAGTCATGGTCGTTTTTCACGTTGGCCAGGCCATTGACAAAGTATAAACAACACGAGGAAAGCTAGACAGAGAGAACTTGGAACATTTCATAATTTGATTCAATGAACAAACGGCGTCAAGGGGCCTCTAATAGTACTCTTCCCTATCCAAAAGGAGTCTCAACAAGACAAGGACATATATGCCCTCTTATTAAGGGTTTTTATGCCGAGGATAAGGATTGTATTGGATCCACCCTAAAGTATAAATTCTAAATAAGTGTAATAATTCGCTAACCATAGACATCGATTAAAAATGAAAAATAACAGAAAAAGTCGAGTTCAAAATATTTGAATAGCGTCAAACAAGTTCATAATGTTGGGTTAACCGTACAAGTTATTGACATAGACTAGAATCTTTCCTATGTTTTATTATTATTTTTTTTATTTTGCTAAATGATCAATTATTTAGTAAAATTAAGAGAAATTATGTCTCCACTTAGTTTTTTTTAAATGTCACAGTGATCAAATTTTGAGACCAAATAAATTATTCAAATGATATGACAAACCTACTAACAAACCTGCGAGCATAGGCGGAGGGAGGTAGAGGCCAGGGTGGGCACGTGCTCCCCTCAATTTTTTTTTTATTAGTTAGATATATGTATTATATATTTATACATATATATTATGCGTGTCCCCTCATTTATATTAGACCCATATTATTTACCCAAAGTAATTAAACAATTAAGTCCATTTAAAACAAAAAAAATTGAACTCACTATTATCTATCCAAACTTATTAAAAAATTAAATATTTGACCTATCATAATCCACTCAAATCTATTAAAAAAATAAAACTTTTAGTCCAACATTAAAAACAAAATTTTTGATCCAACATTAAAAACAAAATTTTTGATCCAACATTAAAAATAAAACTTTTGGCCCACCATCATTAGAAAACAAAACTTTTGGCCCATTTGACTAAAATCTATCTTATCTTTTTTTTTTTTTTTTTTTTTCTTTCTGTATCACTCACTCTCAGCTGCCCACTGCCCATTGCCCAGCCACAAGAAAAAAAGAATAAACAGAAAAAAACTCAACACATGAGAAACTCAGTTCTTTGAGTATTTTTGTCATTCTTTGCACCAATCTATAAAATTATTTTATATATTATATTTACCCCCTAAATTTTTAAAAATTTTAATAATGGTTCTAGTCTCTTTTTTTTTTTAATAAATTAGTGGATCACTAACTCTCTAAAATAAATATGTTAGTTTTGGATTGAGTCAATGTTTTATTTGTATATTGACAAAAATACAATATTTATCTTTATCTAACATAATGTTCGTTACTTTTTAAGAATAAATTTTAGTTTTCATTTACCATTTTTTTAGTAATAGTAGTCTATAACCTAATAAAATACGAAAATTAATTTACATTTAATTCATATACAAAATTTAAGAGATTTTAAAAATTTTTATATTTTATTGAAATATATAATTAGGCTAAAATGTACTAAAAAAATTATTTTGTGTCTTTTTGTTAAGATTTTGTTTCGGCTAAATAAAAATTGAATTTACTATTTCACAATAATTTAGTGTTGATTCTTACTTTTTTTTTATTCTTGAACTGAATTTTTTTGTATTAATTTTGGCTTAATATTTTTTTATACCAGTTATATTTTGCCTATCATAGATATTCATGACTTTGCCCTTGACAATATATATATATATATATATATATATATATATATATATATATATATATATATATATATATATATTTGGATTTTTTTCATGTTAAATGGACTTCATGTATCAAATATAATATAATAAATATAAATATGTTACATAGTGTGATTGATTAGAAGGAAAAAAAATTAGAGTACATAATTAAAGTGTCGACCCTGAGCAAATTTTTTGACTTTGCCCTTGCCTGCGAGCAACCAAGTATGTATAATTTGAGGATAAGAAGTTGTCAATTCATTTGGGTAACCAAATTTAATTTGATTAGAATAGTAGTATTAATCCAAAGGTAGTTTGATGATATCTCAAACAAGTTCTAACTGTAAACTTAGGTCAGGAAAGACACGGAAAACTTAGAGAATCAGGGGTAAAGCTCCATTGGGAAAATCGTAACAGAACCAACCAGGAAACAACTGGATGACTGCGAAAATTGAGTACAATGAATAAAACTCTCAACCAACCAAGATTTTTTCCTAAAATTAAGGAGAATCCCATGAATAATGAATAAAAATCTCGACTGAAATCCCACAGAATAGGGAACAACCTTATAAATACTATGTAACGCCTCATCGAGAGGGAGGACTCAAGAAGAACCCTAATTAGATCATGCATTGTACTGTAATACATTCAAGTAGTCAATAGACAAAAAAGGAGGGGAAGCCTCCATTAGAAAGTGGATTAGCCGAGCTCCAGAGTCGGTGCATCACTATATTCTTACTGTGCAAATTCCCCTATCCCCTAAGAAACACTTCATTGTTATTATGAAGTTGGCAGTTTAAATTCACCTTTGGTTCCATGCACTCTGTTCATCCACATTAATTAGCACCATCATAGTTTAAGTTGCGAAATGTATTAATTGTGAACTTAAACGTTCTGAGTTTAACCTTGACAATCTTTTAGAACTATATTATGAGAGATTTATTCCATGTGAATATTCTGATTCTAGAATGAATGATCTGTATTTGATCAGACTGGAGAAGAAATTAATCGAGATACGCGTAAGTTAGCCTAAATATCCCTTGAATTAAAAAAAAAAGAAGAAGATTATTAGTGTTGCATTATTTTTGGTATGCCTGGTCCATTTGGGGTGACGTTCATTGATCTTTTACTACATTGAGCTTCCATCGAAATGCTGATAAAAGTGAGTCCCATCATATTTAATTAGATTCTTCATTCATTAATGGTAAGGTTATCTCATTAATGAGAGATTATCTGTTGATTTCCTGGTTAATGGGCCAAGTCATGGGCGGCGGGTCGTTTGAAGACCCGTCAGTGGTCCATTTCTTCCTAATGAAAGTTACATTATCATAACTTTCCATTCTATCCACTTGTGATTTCTGATGATGTGGTCCAATACGAGGACGCATACACAGACTATAAATATTGAAGCAACAGTACTGCAAAGAGAATGCTCAACAGACGCAACCACCACCAAGTCGGTCCTTGTAGACTCCCTCTCTCTGTCTCTCTCTAACACACACACATTTAATTGAAGTCCTCCACCAGCAGTTGCACTGGCACCCGCACTTGGAAGTGGGAATACAGGTCTTCCCTCCATAAAACGCATCCTCTGTCTCTGTCTGTCTGTCTGTCTGTCTCTCTCTTTCGTGAAAAGAGTGAACTGGGTTACATTTCCTGGGTTTTTTTTTTCTGTGAACCTGTCACCTACTGTTGTGGGTTTCTCAAATTCTCTTTTATAGTTCAGTTATATGTGTGCCAGCAATGGCTTTCTGTACATTTGCTTTACCTGGGAAGTTAAACCGGGCAGTGGCTTCAGACCTCCACAATGTGTTCTGGGGAACAGATGTGAAGGCTCAATCTCAACACAAGCCCAATAAGGTTTGAAATTTCTGGATTTTTAAGAACTGGGTTTTCTCCTCCTCTTGTTATTTATGTTTTTTTTTTGTAACTTGTAAGTAGGATCACCTCAGAGGAGGAATCCAAGTGATTATATGTAGTTATTGTGAATCTATGTTTTTACTTGTGTTTTGATTTGGATAAGTATTTGTCTTTAAGCTGTCAGTTTAGGATAGGAATAAAGAATTTATTGTTTTTGTTAATAATTTGTTTGACAGGTCAGGAAAAGAACACTAGGTGTTTGTGCATCATTGTCAGAGAGAGGGGAGTATGAATCTCAGAGACCACCTACACCCCTTTTGGATACTATCAACTATCCAATTCACATGAAAAACCTCTCCATTAAGGTAGATAACTCAACTCAGCTCAGCTCAACAAAATCTTCTCTCAAGGTTTTTTGTGTCAGCTACATGAATCTAACTGTCAAGAGACCTATTTTCTGTTGAATAACTAGTTATAAATATTTAAAGAATGCGCTGTGTAGTTGCACAATCGACAAGAAGTATACGTTTATCTCTATAAACTATGATCAAATAGTAATCTTTCATGCAGGAACTGAAACAACTTGCAGATGAGGTACGTTCCGATGTAATATTTAATGTTTCCAAGACTGGGGGTCACCTTGGTTCAAGCCTCGGCGTTGTTGAGCTTACTGTGGCTCTTCACTCTGTTTTCAATGCTCCTCAAGATAGAATACTTTGGGATGTTGGTCATCAGGTGACAATTTTACCTTATGGTTTCCTTAACTTAGTTAACCATAGAAAACAGAGAATAGTCTCTGCAGAATTGCCCTTAATTTAGTTGTTACCTTAATGAATTGTGCAGGCTTACCCACACAAAATTTTGACCGGGAGAAGAGACAAGATGCATACAATGAGACAGACAAATGGATTGTCTGGTTTCACCAAGCGCTCAGAAAGCGAGTATGATTGCTTTGGTACTGGTCACAGTTCTACCACTATCTCAGCAGGCTTAGGTAATTCTCTGTTCTACACCGAGTATTGCAATTCAAACTAGAACAAACATTTTTAGTTGGACTTGTTTCTGAGTATGCAATCCTTTTAATCAATAGCTATTCAGCGCCAATTTACCATTGTAGGACTGTATATTTCTGTGGAAAGTATATACTCCAAAATTTTCCGCTTCCATTGGTTTGTGGATCAAAAGATTTGATACTTCGTTCATAATGATTTTTTGATTCCCCAAAGGGAAAGAAAAGCGGTTCTACTCTTTGTATACATATTTTACCAGAAACTCGGTTGGATATACACCTTAATCATCTAGTGCTATGCACATCCTTCAACAGCATAGCACGTCGCCATCACTATCATATCCATTCTCAATCTTACTTATCTTCTGTTTTTGATCCAAATTGAGGGCCTATGTTCAATTCCTTTTTGTTGATCTTTGGGATTTTTCCGGTGGACAGGGATGGCTGTGGGAAGAGATTTAAAGGGAAGAAAGAACAAAGTAGTTGCTGTTATAGGTGATGGTGCCATGACAGCAGGTCAGGCTTATGAAGCCATGAACAATGCTGGGTACTTGGACTCTGATATGATTGTTATTCTTAATGATAACAAACAGGTCTCCTTGCCCACTGCTAATCTGGACGGTCCCATACCACCTGTAGGAGCTTTGAGCAGTGCTCTAAGTAGGTTGCAGTCAAACAGGCCTCTCAGAGAATTAAGAGAAGTTGCCAAGGTATGTAATACTTTACTAAGGGCAAAAATAGACAAATCACCATCTGTCCTGTAGACTTCTGAAACTGAAGCTCTTTCGGCTGTGATGAAATTGTTCCAGGGAGTTACCAAGCAGATTGGTGGGCCTATGCATGAACTTGCAGCAAAAGTAGATGAATATGCTCGTGGGTTGATCAGTGGCTCTGGATCTACACTGTTTGAAGAACTTGGACTTTATTATATTGGTCCTGTGGATGGTCACAGCATAGATGATCTTGTTGCCATTCTCAGAGAAGTTAAGAGTACTAAAACAACGGGTCCAGTGCTGATCCATGTTGTCACTGAGAAAGGCAGAGGATACCCGTATGCTGAGAAAGCTGCAGACAAGTATCACGGTAAATACATTGGGTTGCAAATTTGGAAAGTAGAGTCAGGATGTGGGTTTTTTGTTTTCCCCTTGGGGGGATTTTTTTGATCCCATGATGGGGAGGAGAGAGTGAGTACTTAGAAGTCTCCCAAAGCCACAAAGGCTGGCCTTTTTGGTGGTATGATGTGGTTAATTGAGAGGAATTCACAAATAAGCATATAAAATTTTTAGGCAATGCTATTTAAGCTCAGCATACCATCAGTTTGACATGTATTTATTGCAATTTAAAAAAGCACCAGGAATTCTCAGGTTGATTTGGAATACAATCATAACTACTTAAGTTGATATCAGAAGTAAATTCATGTCAAATGGCAAGGATGAGATCAATTTCATCTATATTTTCCACATTGTATCTCATTTATAGATATCAGATAAATTTAAACTGTACCTGGGCTATGTTTTTGAAGGAGTGGCCAAGTTTGATCCGGCAACTGGAAAGCAATTCAAAGCCAGTGCTAAAACCCAGTCTTACACAACATACTTTGCAGAAGCTTTGATAGCAGAAGCAGAAGCAGACAAAGACATTGTTGCAATCCATGCAGCAATGGGAGGTGGAACAGGGTTGAATCTTTTCCTTCGCCGCTTCCCAACACGGTGCTTTGATGTTGGGATAGCAGAACAGCACGCTGTAACTTTTGCTGCAGGATTGGCCTGTGAAGGCCTTAAACCTTTTTGTGCAATCTACTCTTCTTTCATGCAAAGGGCTTATGACCAGGCAAGGCATCACCCTCTCCACCCTTTCTTCTCAGTCAATATTAGTTGAAAATTTTAGGAATTTTTTGTGGCAACTGGTATATCATGCAAAATTTGAGCTTTAAGGGGCACTTTTTTTTTAATCTTAGCACAAATGTTCTTGGTTCATGGTACAGGTAGTGCATGATGTGGATTTGCAGAAGCTACCTGTGAGATTTGCAATGGACAGAGCTGGACTGGTTGGAGCAGATGGCCCAACGCATTGTGGTGCTTTTGATGTCACCTATATGGCGTGCCTCCCAAACATGGTAGTGATGGCTCCTTCTGATGAAGCTGAACTTTTTAACATGGTTGCAACTGCTGCTGCCATAGATGACAGACCTAGCTGTTTCAGGTATCCGAGAGGAAATGGGGTGGGTGTAGAACTGCCACAAGGGAACAAAGGCATTCCTCTTGAGGTATGGTTTAATTAACTCTCTCCACCTGCTGTCCCCATGGTGAAGGAAAACTTCGGGAAGTTTGAACAGTTTAAAATTTGATACATGATTTTAAATTTCACAACAGGTTGGAAAAGGCCGAATACTGATTGAAGGGGAGAGAATAGCACTTTTGGGCTATGGAACAGCAATTCAGAGCTGTTTGGCTGCAGCTAATTTAGTAGAAACCCATGGGTTACGGTTAACAGTTGCAGATGCACGTTTCTGCAAACCATTGGATCGTACTCTTATTCGCAACTTGGCAAAATCACATGAGGTCTTAATCACGGTGGAAGAAGGATCGATTGGTGGTTTTGGATCTCATGTTGCTCAGTTCATGGCCCTAGATGGGCTTCTTGATGGGAAAATGAAGGTATATATCTGAACTGCTGGTTGTCTTTTAGTGGTAGATTCGGTTGTTACAAACTCTAAATTGCTTCAATTTCCTTTGAGAAATGTTTGGAGTTTTTATCTAGCAGAAAATGTGAAAAAGGGTTGAATTTGAGCTCTGCAATTACAAAAATGGCTTGAAATTTGAAAATGTCATCGTATGTTGTTGAAATTCCATTGATATTGTAGTTCTTTTATCAACAGACAATACGAGGTGATCCAATACATGTGGATAGCGAGTAATTGACGATCTTGTACTTTTTTGCTATGCATATATGTTGTTTTTGTCTTGACAAAGCTAGCATTGGAGTCTGTTTTGGAGCACTCATTTTGTGTCCTTGAAATTTCTGCAGTGGAGACCGCTGGTTCTTCCTGATCGATACATTGACCATGGATCCCCAGCTGACCAACTTGCCCAAGCCGGTCTCACACCATCTCATATAGCAGCAACAGTATTCAATATACTTGGACAAACAAGAGAGGCTCTGGAGATCATGTCTTAGACCTGTTTGAAGTTTGTGTTTCTCTCAACATTCTACTGTTCATATCCTAATATCATTATTGTAAAATGCAGTCGCAGCATCAATACAGACTAAGGCTTAAAAGACTCAGAACCTCATGTTGCTTACAAATATGCAAAGATTGATATAAAATCTTTCCTCTTGGAACCATTGTATGATTTATTGTATGTTAAGGTTTAACTTTTTTTGTCAAGCCTCATTTTTATGATTTTTATGATTATTGAAAGACTGAAACTGCTAAACTCATACCTGCAACCGCAACAAGAAAGATTTGAGCGTCATAAAAGCTATACAATAGAAATGGCTAACGAAATGGATTCTAGGCTGACTCCCTTCTCGCCTTCTCCCATCTTGCCTTCTTGTACATTAGGGGCATGTTTGTTTGGGTGATTATATGTGGGTGATATTGGAAATGTATTCTTTACATTTCCAATATCAATGAAAATTAGTATCGATAATAGAAAATGTTTTAATTCCTTCGCATGTTTGTTTGTTCAATAGGTACTGTGGTGAGTCTCACAAATAACCATCTATTATATCACATTTATAACAAATATATCATTTTACTCTTAATATCATTCATTCCATTACTCCGTTTGTGTAACGCTCACAATGTTTGGTATAATATAGGATATAATAATCCACGTCCAAAAAATTTTAAACAATGTAAAAAATTTACATAAAAAATAAAAACAATGTAAAAAATTTACATAAAAAATAAAAAATCTGATGCTATGAATCAGTGATACCGTAAAAAAAAATTAAAAAAAAAATCGATAACACTGTACGCTTAAACATAATACATGAAAAAAATTCAAAATAATTTTTTTAAAAAAATTTTAAAAAAAAACTGGTAACACAGTACGCTTAAACATAATAAAAGGAAAAAATTTAAAATAATTTTTAAAAAAAATTAAAAAAAAAACAGTAACATCGTACGCTTAAATATAATATAAGAAAAAAAATTGAAAAAAAACTAGTGACACTGTACACTTAAATACAATACAAAAAAAAAAAAAATTCAAAATAAATTTTTTATATGTCAAATCTTAACAAAAGAGAGCATTTGTATCAATTTACATGTTTGTACTGTCCTTTCATTTAACCTAGGAAGATAATACACTGGGTAAGTGGTACTCATTAATACTATGTACAAGGTTTAAATGATATTGTTTAAATCAGGTCAGTATTACGATCTGAAAAATAGTACTGTGTGTAAAATACCAAACAAATAAGGTAATAAGGGAGTTCTATGTACTATTTTCTTCTATCCCACCCTATAATGCCATGTACTGCTTGAAACAAACTTGCCTAAGGGAATAATTTGGTTTCGAATTCTCACGAATATATTTTCTTTCGATTAATCTCAATAATAGGCCACATACCTTAAATTTAAAGTTGACCCATTATAGATAAAGTCGGTTTTAGATCAATATCTAGTGGGTATTACTTTATAAAAGCGATTAAACTTGTATTAAAGAGAATTTGAATCGGAATAAAAAATCTGACACCTTTTTTTGGGATAAGGAAAATGGCATCTATAGCCGACCACCTTTTAGTGGGTCTTATTGACGTTTTCAATTCTGTTCCAGATTGATAGATTCCGAGGCATTAAGAGGGGGGATGGTGGGAGATTGGTATAGTTGTTCTTCAATCATACGTGTTCCTATGATTTTGTGCCAACCATATAGATGCCTAGTTAGTGCACACTTTCAAATCCACTAATATTGGCTTGTCGCTGGGAGATGTTGATTGAGTCCTAATTTATTGTAATTGGATTCGTGTATGTGTCAAGAAGAGGCATTTTCTCTTATCTAGGTCTCACAATTCTAAATAAAGACTCGTGAAATCAACACAAATTTGATGCAAATTTAGTAAGTTTGGGTGGAGTCTTAATAGATTCGGATAATTAACGGGTTAATTCAGTAGACCCGTGAAATAAACGAATCGATTTCATGTTTAACCCAAAAACTTGTTTCAACTTGTTCACAGTGGTACTATAATTTTTTTTAAAAAAAAATTAGCTCTCTCAGCCCCCGTCTCATTTCACACCTCTCATCTCTCAGACTCATTCAAATTTAGTATTCATTTAGTGTTTATTTTTTGTTATTATTTTTTTGCTCAGCCATGATTTATTGTTATAAGAAATAAGTAAAACATGTGTAATGTGTGGCGAGTTGATGATTTTTTGTGTGGACTTGAAATACTCTAACCTATTCTTTTATTTAGCGGGTGACACACAAATTATATCAAAGAACCCGTCTAATAAACAATTCGTGTATGAGTGTGATAATTTGACTTGTTTATATAAACGAATGAGATATGAATAAAGAATTTTTTTTGACATAAATCTATTTCACCCAACATAAAATCGTTCTACTCAACACAATTGCCGAACCTAGTAGTACTTGTATACAAAGTTCTCGTCTATCCCAACGTTTAGAAGAAGTAATTGATAGACCCCTCTTTATCCCAAATTTGCAAAGTTGATTCTTAAACTCGTACTCCAGCATAGCACTATGTTCTTGAACTTCGATCCAAAGCATAGTCAACAAGCCGGGCCAACGTGGTCCGCTAGGCAATGGCCCATGATGGGTCGTGGGCCTCACTATCCTACAATCCTCTGATTTATGATTCACAATTTGAATAAATTGTGAGTTTCAATATCATAGAATTCAATTTTAATCTAATAATTTCATTAAATTAGGTCCCTAAATTAGGAAAAAATATTCACTACAACGGTGACATCATGCCATTACCGCTACATGGTGTCACCATCCAATTAGAAGATAACAAATAAGTAAAATTGATCTCACTATTCTATGTGTTGCTGATTAGATTTAGTAGTTACTAATAGTTATAAAAATAATGAGATCCACTTTACCTATTTATAGTCTTTTAATTAGATAATGACACTACATGACAGTGATGATGTGTTGTATCACCGTTGCATATATTGATTGAACATACAATCTACGTCATCCCGTTAATAGGGTATAATTGCCTAATAATAAGAAGACAACAAGTGGATTCTACGTAATTAAATAACTATTCATCTATGTCATACAATTTATTTGTTGTCTTATCATTAGATGGTTACACCATGTCAGAGTGATGATGTGGTGTAAAGGTAACCGTTACACCCAATATTAAAACTAACCCTATTCCACCAATTATCTCAAATGTGTTCAAATGCTATGAAAGTATAGGGATTGTTTTCAAATTAGTCACAAATAATCATTGCATGTTTATATAGTTTCTCTCTGTTTCAAACAACTATTTATATTCCACCTTGTCCTGAAAATGTTAATCTGGTAAGTAAATTTAAATGCAGTCAAACACACAAAAAAGGAATGGTAAAATTATCAACCCTAGAACACTATCAAAATCATATCACTCGGCATTGTTTTCACAACTTCTCTTAACCCTATTCCACACCTGTCAAATGAATTATAAGATTGAGATCTGCTTCAAAACTAAGTTCTCTCAACGTTAAATCATTTATGTTATAAACCGAAAAAGTGACACATTATATTCAATTATTCTTTCATCAATACACACGAAGGGTGATTGGATAAATGTTGATATCAATTATAATCCAAAAGCATACACAATTTCACCTACGATACCCAAAAAAAATCTGATATCGGGGAGAGAAGTCGTATAAGAATTCATGCGTGCAAACTTGTCTACATTATTGAGCAAGCATTTGGATTCTCATCGCTGAACATGGTATAAACTAGGCAGTCTCCAAAATAATCAAACACTAAGCAATCTGCGACTTGCTTTGAAGTTCCTTGCAATGCAGAATCTTCTTCTTTTGCATCATTTTTAGGGTCTTCTTTATTAATCACAATCTCTGCTCTCTTTCCTGTTTTCTTCTTAAGTTTCTTCAAGACTTTCTCTGGATTGATCCGGCCAGTTACTACCACTTTGTGTTTGGTCATATCAGTCATGAACTTCTCAACCCCTTAATTAAAGAGCAAACCAAAAGAACTTATGGGTACTTCTTGCATTAAATATGAATGCATCTCAAATAGCATTTTCCTTTTCAAATATTCTAGGTTAATGCATATATAAATTCTCCACTCCAACACACGCACACACACACAAACAGAGAGAGAGAGAGAGAGAGAGAGAGAGAGGGGGGGGGGTTTGGAGATGGCTTTGGCAATAGTTCTTTGACACCCCATTACAATGCATTGACACTTTGATTTCTGCCATTGCACCAACACTTCCACCCAACTAACCCCAACACACATTGTGATGCACCCTTCCCCCGACACACACACACATACATACATAGAGAGAGAGAGAGAGAGAGAGAACCTTTCATTTTGGAGATGGCTTTGACAACCGTTCTTTCACATCCGTTACAATGCATCGAAACTTTAAATTCTGCCACTACAACCTGTTCATGGCCCCCAAAAAAAGTAATCCTATAATGAAAGGTAATTAATGGAAAATACTGTGTTTTGGGTGAGAATCACAATAATATATACAACACACATATTTCTTACTTTATCTTCTTTTATTTTCTTCTTATCGGCCATTGAAACTGTAAAAAAAAAGCGCAAAGAATCATCAATAGAATCTAATACATTTTTTTTTTCAAACGGTTGGCAAGGACAATCTAGTAATTGCCCGAAGTTAGTTACTGCATTGTAATGGCCAATCGGGAAGCATCCCTCTCATATGGGGTCGTAAAGACGTCAAATAATTTTTTTTGTAAGCGGCCGGCCACTTAATTACACCATAACCAACTCGAGTCAATTGAAATTACACAATAACCCTGTCCATGGATCGAGATTCCCACCAATACCCTTAGGGCTTGTTTGTTTGAGGTATAAGGGTGGTATAAAAAAAATAGTACGTGGGATCTACCTTAAATCTTGTTTGTTTGACATTTTTTACCAAGTACTAATTTTTGGGTCATAGTACCGACCCGGTGTGAACAGTAATACTAATGCCTTCTACATGGTGCTATTCAATACCACCTATCCGGTGGTATAATATTCTTGGTATAAATGAATGGAGGTATAATAAACTAAAAAGATCAAAATACCCTCATGTACAATGCCTATATAAAAGCTTAGTTGCAATTTTTGACTTTTTAAGGTTAAAATTATCTTTTTATATTGGTTAGCCGTAATTGTTGACTTTTTTAAGTAGGTATTACATAAATAATATTTGTGACAAACAAACAAGGGAAAAAATGGAATTATAGTTTAAGACCGGGTATAATATACTATTGGATCGGAGTGGAATAGATATAAATTCTTATACCACCTAAATCTTATACTCGAAACAAATGACCTCTTGCAGTATTAGATTTTGGTGGTATAAGAAATCATTTTCATTCCACTCCTATCCAATGGTATACTATACTCGGTCTTAAACTTTTATTTCATCTTTCCCTTTGTCTGTTTGTTCAACGGGTACTGTGGTAGGTTCTACAAACAACCATCTATTTTAACACAACTTATATAATAAATATACCATTTTACCCTTAATATCTCCCATTCCATTACTTCGTTTGGGTAATATTTTTGCATAATGTTTGGTATAATAAATAATCTAATGCTATGAATCGGTAATACTGTAAAAAAATTTTTTTAAAAAAATCGGTGATATCATACGCTTAAATATAATACAAGAAAAAAATTCAAAATATTTTTTAAAAAAATCGGTGACAACATACGCTTAAACATAATATAAGGAAAAAATTTAAAATAATTTTTAAAATTTTTTTTAAAAAAAAATCGTTAACACTGCACAATTAAACATAATAGAAGAAAAAAATTCAAAATAATTTTTTTTTAAAAAAAAATAAAAAAAAAATTGTTAATACCATATGCTTAAACATAATATAAAGAAAATTTTAAAATAATTTTTTTAAAAAAAATTAAAAAAAAACCGATAACAACGTACGCTTAAACATAATACAAGAAAAAAATTTAAAATAATTTAAAAAAAAAATCGGTGACACCATAAGTTTAAACATAATAAAAGGAAAAATTCAAAATAATTTTTTTAAAAAAAATTC